ATGTGTATACAGATAGTCTTAAAAAAATTGAATTTTATTTCTAATTATTTAATATTTAAGGAAAGAAGTGTATCAACAACGACCACGTGACAATATGGAAACCTTTATTTTGTTATTGTTTCAAAATAAACACAAATTCTACAAGAAGAGTCTGCTTAAACAATCCCAATGTATTATGCTACATGTGTAGCGAGAAAAAAATCAGATTTTGTAAAACTAGCTTGTCTTGCTTATTTTGGAGTGGTACTTGAAGAAAGACAAGCCCTGGACTCCCCATTTGGTTGGCAAAACCTGTGTAGAATACTTGCGACAGTGGAAAAATAGGCAGAGCAAAAGTTTTAAGAGTCGGTGTGCCTATGGTGTGCAAAGAGCCAAAAAGTCACCACCACCACTGTTTTTTCTGTAAGATGAACGTGAAAGGTTTCAATCGATACAAGAAAGTCAAGTGGGAACATCTTAATTTGGAGTCAGCAAGTAGACTGTGCCACACAGCGTTGTAAACACTGGTATGTTCCCATACCAGTGTTTACAACACTGCCTAACCTTCTGTTGTCAAATATTTAAGAAACTCGGGAATTTGGATGCAACACAGGTGACAGTAGTGGAAGTGAATATGAAGCAAGCATTTCAACACCCCAGCAGTTCTCCCAAGTAGAACTCAATGATCTGACACATGACCTCAGTCTGTTAAAGCAAGCCTCAGAAGTTTTAGCGTCCAGACTTATAGAAAAGAACTGTCTACAACAAGAAGTTAAAATAACAGCTTATTGGACAAGAGAGGTTGAACTCCTTCCGTAAGCCAAGATGAATTAGTATACTGCAGTAACATCCCTGGACTTCTTCTTCGATTGGACTTGAATATCGACCAGGAAATTGGCAGCTGTTTATAGACAGCTCCATTAGAAGCTTGAAATGTGTCTTAGTGCACAGTGTTAACCAACATGCATCTCTTCCAATTGCTCACTCAACAAAACTGTGCTGATGACCAACATCGAAGAAAATCGTGCAACGTTCTTCATATGCAGTAATTAGTGGTATCTGAATTATCTTACTATGTTAATCTGTTATTATATAGAATGAAATGTTAGTATGTATTAAATGATTTGACTTTTGCAAGATCAAAACAATAATTTCAATGTGATTTGTATGTCAGTCTCGCCTGATCAATATATTTTTTCACATCTTTTGTTGTTCAGTGGGATACCAAATTTATCAAAAACTAGAGCCAGTCAATCAAAATTGATGACATATTCGGAATCAGCACCACAAATTTACCCTAAAATCGATGTAATATCATTGGCCAGAAAATGAGCGTTTACCAGTGAATTATTGATGCTGCATGTCACCTGTTCACCACCAGTCAAGAATATTTCATCTTTGAAATATGAATCAAAACAAACTCTCCGCTAAGGTGGAAGACGCCAGCATAAGAACATAAGAATGTAGGAACACTGCAGAAGGCCTACTGGCCCATACGAGGCAGGTCCTTATCAAAACGACATCTACCTAAAGCTACTCAAGAAATAACTCCCGTACCCCTTGACAGCAATCAAACCCAGCCCCTCCCACTCATATATTTGTCCAGTCTCTTCTTAAAGCTACCCAAGGTCCTAGCCTCTATCACCCCACTGGGAAGACTGTTCCACGCATCTACAACTCTGTTAGAAAACCAGTACTTACCTATGTCCTTTCTAAATCTAAATTTATCCAACTTAAATCCATCATTCATGGTTCTTACCTGGTTCGACACCCTCAGTACTTTATTAATGTCTGACACTCTACCTTCATAACTAAGCGCTAAACCCACAAGTCATACAGCACTGACCTAATAAGATGATAATTAAGACAGACAAGCATGAGAACAGACTTAAGATATGAAGGAGACAGTTCTCTCACCAGGGGGTTTATTAGTCTAATACAGAAAGCACGAGAGTAACACAATATATGTTGTTGCTAAGGTTAACTGGTACGAGAGAAAGGTACTGAAAGTTCGCCACATAAGCTTGCAGAAGTTCTTATGAAGCACGTCTCCACGCCGTCAGGAGACATCAATCCGGTCCTCCGACACTGAAGGAATCTGGGGATAGAGTTAAGAACATTATCATGAGAGGAAAAAACATAGCTCGCCAGTTTCTCTGTTTACCAGGGTTCCTGCACAAGAGGTTTCGCTACTTAAACTGAAAGTTACTGACGACTTGTACCTCATGATACCTGCTAAAGATATCGTGGGTGAACTTTGTAATTGTTTCAATTCTCTCTTTAGCGACACTTCAACAGTTGCATGAGAGAACCATGGACTCGCCAGTCAATGCAGTGGTAGCCAGTTTACACAGGGAGCACCAGTAGGAGTGGTATCAACAACACATCCCTGTGAGTTTAACATGACTGACCTGTTATTGATACCTTAAATCATCACCCATAGAAGTGTCCATTATGTTCACTATGTCGCTTACCTTTCTGATCGTGCTTTCGTGTATTAAAAACTAGTTAGTCTAATTAATAACCACAGGCGACCAACCAATAAGGATGAAGTTTCACGCTTCAAAAACCACCACGCTAATATTATGAGAAACTTCGTCATAAGTGTCTGTTTTCAGGGCATTCCTGATCACAGGTCCGCCAGATTTAGAGGAGGAATGCATATACAATGCATTTTCCAAACACTATTGTCCATTTTATCTACATATATAAAAAGAAAGCAGAAAGGATCACCAGCAAAGCAATGTAACAATACATATCGGTTAAGTTTAACAATACATACCGGTTAAGAATTCAGATGGCACACAAAACTCCAAAAAAGCCAACTTAACTTCTATCACTTTATCTGCCCGTTAATAATTAACCAATTTGAATAAATGTCTCATTTATCAAAGGGTTAACTCTTTATTGCTAGATAGAGAATGCAAGACAACCAACGCCGAGATACTCACCATTCCATTCGAGGCCAGGAGCTATCAATCGACCCCTTCAACCACAATTAGGTGAGTACATTTTGGGAAAACTTCCGAAAAATCTCATAAATGTATGAAGGAAGATCATCATGCCTTCCGTAAGAACGATTTGAGCATCCTGGAGTTACGTGAAGCCTACATAGAATCATCACTGATCGCTTCCAACCACTAAACAATTTTAGAATCTTTAAACCTCATTCTCTTCAAAATCTCCGGACAGTGTATTCTACTCCAGCAAATCAAGACCTTCACTTAGTCCTGCCTCCTTTCTAGCAATATCTGATTTCCGAAATCATTTTGTCTTACACTCCTTATCTGTAATGAATTCATTAAGCTTCTAGTGTCAAAACATATAGTCACTCAAAACGTACATGTTTGTTTATATTCTAGCTCATATTATTGAAAACAAGGCAATGATTGCTTACTTGAGAGGTGTTTCCATCACTCTAGCAACTGACAGAAGATTGAAGCTGTGCGACCCTTTTTTTTTTTGTGTCTGCTGGTTGGCTACCGCTTTCACAGCTTCACATAAATGTAATGCTAATCAGAAAAAAAAAGGAAAGAATAACAAAACATTTGGAAATATCAGTGTTTGCAGCTGGATTTAAAGCCTTTCGAAATGAGAATTAAATGGGGTGACACACTTCTTTCGTTTTAAGGTGTTATTAATGCTGCCTTGCAAGTAATTTCACCCTTGTAAAGTAAAAGGACACAAGTGCAACTAATGTGACATTTATTGTGGCAACGTTTCGCATTAGTTGCACTTGTGTCCTTTTACTTTACATATTGTCGGTAATTCTACCAACTTTATTACAATTTCACCCTTACCATTTCTTCCACTGGCACCAATATAAGTCATTTCCCAGCTGCTGCACACGAGTAAAACACGTGTGCAGCAGCTGGGTAACTTCATTGTTAAAACATTTTATTACCTTCTATGTAGAAGAATAAAGATACCCAATTATTGCACTTGCATTTGGCTCGTTTACTTGCCAGTATTGCAAATACTCTTCATAATTATGCCTCTATTAAATACCCAAGTGATGTACACGTGTCTTACTCTTCAGATTAAAAGGCTTCGTTGTTTCATTATGTTGTTCTTTCATTATGTATCCTTGATTAGAGGAACTCCAGTTATTCTCCCCATCTTTCAACCAAGTCTGATTACCTCCCATTTCCTAGGTGCGGGTTTAGCTCTCTTTCTTATAAGCATTTCAAACTTGATATCAAGTTATGATAGTTATATATAGTAGAGCCCTTCACTCAGTTTCTAAGAAGCATCGATGCATTGGGGACCAAGGAACAGCGTTTGCTGACAGTGATATGTTGCACTAAATTCTTTTCACTAGGTCGTTTGCATACATCAGTAGCAGTATGGATTCCATGATTGATCCTGTGAGATTCCTTCAGTTCTTAAGCGCTAAACCCATGTGGGTTCAGCACCAGGAGTGGTGGATGAAGGTGGTATCCTCAGCTAGCCGCGAGGCGTACACTGTACCGACACGTCACTAGTTAAATCACGGAATGGGAGGGGAAGGGGTTTGAACTCGGGGCAAGCGAGTCCTAAAGCTCATTTGCCATGAGTTCAACCCCCATCCATTCCGTGATTTGTTTTCGTTAGTGTCATTACAATATCGTAAGTCGAGACATATCTAGTTTCTATCTATGTATACTTGTGTATGCCTTGTTTTTGTCTGAGGGTGTGAGCAAACAAGTAAATCATTGTTATTTAATGTGTGTGTAGGTAGGTGTGTGTGAAGGTGTGTGTTGTCGTGCGTATTCATGTGTTTACCTGACATTATAATAGAAACACAGAATATACCGATAGTGCGACTTACGGTATATTATTTATGAAGACGGGTCTCCCACCTGGGAATATATCAAGTCATTGAATTGGCAAAGTCCTTGGTATACAACACGTATTCATAAATAAAACACCATAACCCGCACATTGTGTCTTATTTACTTACCTGACCTCTCCTCCCCAAACACCACTCCGAGTACAATACACATGTCTCAGTAACTTGCAGCTTCACCTCTCTCTCCCAGGTGACGTGGTTGAGGCGACGAGATCTGCACATCCTGACGGCTGGACACCACACTTACTCTGCTGACCAACGCTTCCAGGTAAACAACTGCACTTGCCTCTCTTCCTCTGCCTCTATTCTTCCTTCTGTCTCTATTCTTCCTTCTGTCTCCTCTCTTTTGTGTCTGTTTTCTCAATTCTTTCCTTTCTCTATTCGTTTTCTTATCTCCTTTGTTCTTTCCTTGCCTCCTCCTATTCCTTCCCCTGGAATCTCTTGATCCCTATCTTGTCTCCCCCTTTCTCCACTTTCCCCCTGCCTACGTCGTTTTCTTTGTCATTCTTCCCCTGCCTCCTCTCCTCCAATCCCTGTTTCCTCTCTTACATCTCTTCTGCCACTTCATTTACCTTGCCTACTCTCCCATCAAACACCTTTCTGCCATCTGCCTCTCACTTTCTTCGTCTGCCTCCTCCCTTCCTTTCCACGCCTCGTGTCTTCCTTCTCTTTCTCCCTGTCTTCCCTTGATTTTTTTTCCTCAGTATTCGCTACCTCTTCCATTTCCCTGTTTTAGTCTCCTAGCTTTCCCTACACCCCTGCCATATTTCATCACATTCTCCTTAATTAATGTTCCTTGTTAGACAATGCATATACTGTATCATCCGTGTGTTTATTCTCTATTATTCTCTGCAAGGCCCCAGAACATGTTCACTCGTGTATGTGTGTATGCATGTATGTATATATATGCATGCCACATTGCTTGTTGTCCATTGTTAAGATCGCCTGTTTGTGATATTGCTCGCGCAATACAATCACAAATTTTGTAAGCTCTCAGAAAGAAGCCTATAACTACCCCTCTTTTAGTTCTAGTGTTATGGCGAGAGAACGAATGTAGAAGATCGTTTTGTAGGCAGATTTACGGTAGACTTTAAAAAAAAGTCTGTTTTCACCTGTGAGTAGGAGTACGTGTAAATTTAATTGTAGGTTCCAGACTGTTGGTGTTAAGGATGTTACGTACTTCTAGATTTTTGAGTACAATGGTCAATGTATCATCAACGTATCGCATCACATTCGTACAAGACTGCAAGAAACATGCAACACGCATCCTTACAAGACTGAAATCCACTTGAAGGAAATCCTCCCAGTTATATCGCTTTACCGGTCACCGACGTTGCAACTAACGTTTCCAAAACACTTGACAGAAAACTTGTTGAAGAACTGGTGGATATTTTAACTATTAGAAACCTAGTGCAAAAATCGAAGAATGACTTGTCACGAGCGCAAGTATATACCGAATACCATATGGGGGTGTATGTGTTGGAAACAGCAAGGTCTTTGGACGTTAGCATCCGGGAGCACGCGAACACCTACAACCGTAGGTGTTCGCGAGTGTTCAACGTAGGGACGATATTGAACACCTCTTGAAATTCAGTGAGGCTAGATTAGTCATTACAGAAGATGATTTACGTCGGCGAAAGTATATAGAGCCTACCCTAATCGCTGTCAGTAACACTATTATAATTCCGGAAGTTTCTCTGAATCCGAAGTGTTAATCAAGAGGATATTACCCATTCTGGAGACCGCTGTAACATAATGTTGACAGGTCTCTCTCAAACTCAACCCATCTCGCCAAACCATACCACGGGTGGGGTTAGAACCCGCGATCAGTCATAAAACTCCATGGTTTGTTTGCAATCGTGTCATTACGATTTCGTGAGTCATCTCGCCAAATTTGTATTACTACTGACTGCTATTATTACCATTGCGGCTTTCCACTATATATACCCGTTTCTTAATTATTGCGAAACGCTTCCGCTAATAAATGTCCTAAACTGTACATAAGTGTTGTTTCTGCATTTATATTTCCTCATACACATTCAACAGCTTCTCAAATTATTTTCCTAAGGTTTCTAACTTCTTCATTCATAAAAAAAAAAACTGTTTTCTCCTTTTAACAACTCAAATTCATTTTTCTCTGGATTTTCTCACGTTATTTACATCTCTCCAAAAATATTTCACTTTCCATAAACAATTTGGTGAGAATAACTATTTTTTTCCTTTTTCTGTTAAAATAATGTTAAATAAAACAAGAGATTATAAGACAAGATCTCTCGCTTCATGTTTTTTATAGTACTCAGATCTTGTACTATTTTAGCAGTCAAAACGAATTTATTGGCCAGCTTTTTTTTTTTTTATCTTACCACAGTTATTAATGTTGCAACAACAATTTTTTCTTCCTGACCTCCTCCATCTCCCCTCTTGCAACTTCCTTCCTGCGCCTCACCCTCAACTCCTCTCCTTAGCTTTTCCAGTTACATCTTTTCTAATGTAGTTCCCATCAAGTACTTTCTCTACATCACCTTTTCTGTACCTACTTTGCTGAACCTCCTCTTCTATATCTCCCTTTCTGCACCTGCAATTTCCCTCCTGCAATTCCTTTACTTCACCTTCCCTATTACAGCTTCTCTCCTGTGATTCCTATCTCTTAGCTCATCTCCTGCCACTTTCACTATGCATCTCCCCTCCTGCACTTTCCTCCAGCACCCTGGTACCTCCCCTCCTGCACCTTCCACCAGCACCCTGGTACTTCCCCTCCTGCACCTTCCACCAGCACCCTGGTACCTCCCCTCCTGCACCCTGGTACCTCCCCTCCTGCACCTTCCACCAGCACCCTGGTACATCCCCTCCTGCACTTTCCACCAACACCCTGGTACCTCCCCTCCTGCACCTTCCTCCAGCACCCTGGTACCTCCCCTCCTGCACCTTCCTCCAGCACCCTGGTACCTCCTCTCCTGCACCTTCCTCCAGCACCCTGGTACCTCCCCTCCTGCACCTTCCACCAGCACCCTGGTACTTCCCCTCCTGCACCTTCCACCAGCACCCTGGTACCTCCCCTCCTGCACTCTGGTACCTCCCCTCCTGCACCTTCCACCAGCACCCTGGTACATCCCCTCCTGCACTTTCCACCAGCATCCTGGAACCTCCCCTCCTGCACCTACCTCCAGCACCCTGGTACCTCCCCTCCTGCACCTTCCTCCGGTACCCTGGTGCCTCCTCTCCTGCACCTTCCTCCAGCACCCTGGCACCTCCCCTCATGCACCTTCCTCCAGCACCCTGGTACCTCCCCTCCTGCACCTTCCTCCAGCACCCTGGTACCTCCCCTCCTGCACCTTCCACCAGCACCCTGGTACCTCCTCTCCTGCACCTTCCTCCAGCACCCTGGTACCTCCCCTCATGCACCTTCCTCCAGCACCCAGGCACCTCCCCTCATGCACCTTCCTCCAGCACCCAGGCACCTCCCCTTATGCACCTTCCTCCAGCACCCAGGCATTTCCCCTCCTGCACCTTACACCAGCACTCTGGCACTTCCGCTCCTGCACCTTCCTCAGCACCCTGGCACCTCCCTTCCTGCACCTTACACCAGCACCCTAGGATTTCCCCTCCTGCACCTTCCTCAGCACCCTGGTACCCCCCTCCTGCACCTTCCACCAGCACTCTGGCACCTCCCCTCCTGCACCTTCCTCCAGCTCCCTGGAACCTTCTTTCCTGAACCATTCCTTCTGTAATTCATAAGCCTCTGCTTCATGAACGTGACACTGCAAGCTGAAATACGAACCGCATTTATCTGATATCTTTATAACTTTAACAACACAAAGCTTAATACTCATCCTAATGCCTTTAACTAATAAAAAATTGATGTGAATTTTTTGCTTTCCTTTGTATTGTAACTTCCGAAAAAAAATCTCTTCGTATTCTGTTTTCCTTCTTTAGTTTTATTTACTTCGCCTAAATACTAATCAGATGTTTCGGTCACTTGTAGAAACATTTTGAGAATTTATCTCTTATCTACTGTACAGCTGTTTCAGCTACACAGTTTTATCTACTGCACAGTTTTATGTACTATAGAGTTTTATCGCTTTTAGAGTTTTATCTCTTACAGAGTTTTATGTACTATAGTTTTATCTACTACTCAGTTGTATCTATTACACAGTTTTATCTCTATACAGTTTTATTCACTATAGTTTTTTCCCACTACATAATTCATCAGACTGCTCTCACTGTGAACTTGCAAACACTTCATCAACCTATACATTCATCTTATAAGTGTAATTATCGTAAAGAAACACACGTTCTTTACATAGTTGAATGTGATTTTTTACTTTAAGTTTCTTACTAGGATGGGGAAGTTAGTTTCTTTACGTAAACTTCCTCTAAACAAAAAAAAATTAGGTTAAGGTACGAACAAATTAGATTAGGATACAAATGCATATAAATACGCATTTTTTTCCATTAATTTATTCAAGATGGCCTCTGAATGTCGATAATTTGACGAGGGAAAAAGACTGGAAAGATTAAAATCTGAGATTATTATTCATTTTGCAAGAATGGGCTGTGTATTGCATCACAAAATATTCAAATCTTACAGATTTGAATGTTTTTTTCTTCTCAAGCCACGTACCACGTTTATTCTAAGGTTGTCGACCACTTATTCAGGGTGTCAGCAACAATCTTTTCTTAAGACGCTAATGTCCACTGACTCTTGGTGAACAGCGGCAACAGATGCAGGAGACGTGGCCATGCGTCTCACGCTGCCTAGACCCAACCAAAGTCCGATTAGCTGTGAGGCGAGATTTGATAAGCAAGTTACTTTAGATACAGGTATACATCAATAGATTTACACAAATTGCTAAACATAAGTAACATACGTGTACATTGCCTAGCATAACCCCTCTTCCCTCCCCCCCCCCCGTAGGTTAAGACCGGATAACGTAAATATACCTTACCTAATATATCCATTAGGTTATGTAAGCTAAAATTACCAAGTGTAACAATTATTAAAATTTCTCGATAATTTCGAGCGCTGAGAAATCGATGGAGGGCAGTTCGTCATATAACCCTCATTAGTTATTTGTTCAATATTGCTACTGATAAATGAGACACTGGTGAAACACTTGGGTATCCTTTTGCGGAAACGTTTCGCCAGCCAGTGGGTTCTTCAGTCCAATACAGAGAAGAATGATGGAAGATAAGGAGTTTGAGGTAATCAGTCCATCAGCCTGAAGTCGACGTGTTCAGTCCATCAGTCTTGATAAAAGTACAGCATGT